TATTATTAATTATTTTACAGCTATAGTTGGCTTATTTGAGTAGAACTGCATTGTTCACTAAGATTGCTATAACGGTCTGTATGGTATTATATGTTTAGGGTGTTTCTTGAGTGAACGGTATGGAACGATGTGGAATTTTCCCCATAAGAAACACTGAAATTTTTATTTTCAATTTACGATCTACCGCCTTCCGAACAAATTTTCAGAAACGAATTAGGTTCGGATACCGGAGTATGAGTTTATATTAGTTTTATGTATGGGTATTCCATGCACTGTTCATAGCAGAACTAAATATCGTACCCAGCTCTACCCATATTAATGTAGCCTTCCTTATTTTATTAGCTTTACAGAAGCATTTTAACTGTTTCCTTTGTCTGGAAATTTGGCTTGAAACTGAAATCAGCAAAATGTTAAGTGGAAATTATCGATCAATTGGCCTTTAAAACAATTATTGAAATGAAAACATTATAAGAGTTGTAGTGATTTGATTGTTTGAAATTACTTAAACAATCAGAAACTGGGACAGTAGATCCAAAGAGTATCTACAGTACTGTGGCTACTAGGAATCAACCAAGCAGAATAAACATATATATAGATTGAAAGAACACAAATATAACATTTTACTAATACAATGAAAGACTAATACAATTGTATCAAAATAATAATAAAATAAGCCAAATAAACAAATACAAGAATATATAATATACATGGGTCATAAACTCTGGTTCACTCTCCACATTGACTATAAGACTCTGATAAGTGTACTCATCCACATATTAACCTGTGTCATACAAATATTAACATTCATAAACGCTGACAAGGTAATGACTTCATTTTTATCAAATGTATGCCTATTTGGAACACTTAAATCTCAACTGTAAAAATATGGACACTGAATTTATCATCAGATTTGAGAACAGAATCATCAAAATTGAGAACTTTGTTAGGTACAGTTCTGATGAAGTTCTAAAAAGTCCCTTCAGGAGAAGAACAGCTGGATATGTATCAAAGTTTGTCCAGTCTTTGTTGGACAAAGAATATCTGTTGGCACTGGTAGAGGAAAGTGTTCCATGCTTATTGGTGTACTGAAATCACTGAATCAGACAGTTTCAAGACAACAGAACCAATTATAAGTGAGAGTTAGATGGAGAGAAATTTAGTCTCTTAGCCAGTATTTTGTAGATGCTACACTGGATATTTGTTGATAATCAATGGTGAAAACAAATATATCACTCTAGACCTGGATTTAAGACAGTTGAGCTTTGTCTGCAGTTTGAGACCAGAGTTGGGCCTTTCTCTTTGGGCTGTAGACTGAGAGGTGTTGTGGGCAGTTCATCACTGGAGGTATCAAAATGAGTCAGTCCAATTCATGCTGACCTTTTTTGTGTTAGAGAGCAAAGACATACCCTATGTCCCCTCTCAGCAGCATTTCTAAGAAGCTGAGTCAAAGGAGTTAAGCAGTTCCAATATATTTTCAGTTCAAGGCAACAGAAAGATTATTTTAATAAGAGAGAAAGAAAAACAAGATGAGAATTGATACTGGACTCAAAGCATGAACAGAATATGGCTGAAACACTGAAATACTGAAATGAATCCCAAGACAATGCATGCAGGAAAGCAGAAGATCATTTGTAATGGGGCAATAGGAGTTAATGGAAGAAACTCATGAGGACTTAATGCTGAGGCAGTTAAGAAAAGGATGAAAATATATGTTTTATATATTTGCTTAGTGTATGGCACGGTGTAGCAATGGCTAACATTGTGTCCTCACAGTACTAGGCCATTAGGTTATATTCCCGAACTGGGGTTCTATCTACAGAGTTTGTATGTTCTTCCATGTTTGTGTGTGTTTCCACCTGGTGCTTGTTTCCTCCCATAGTCCAAAAAGACATACAAGTAGTTTAATTGGCTTCTGGGAAATTTGACCCTGGTGTGACTGTGTTCGTGTCAGTGCCTATGTGTGCTTTGCAATGGACTAGCGTCCTGCCCAGCATGTATCCTGCCTTGCGCCAGGATAAGCTCTGACTCCCCTGTGACCCTGTATTGTATAAAGCAATTAGGAAATGGATAGATGGGTATTTGCTTAGCCAGAGACCTGTTGTCTTGAGTGCCTTTACCCAGTACAATTTTGCTGTGTTCAAATAATATGGTAAATATGTATAATGTTACAGGTGCACCCTAGGAAAGTAATTAATACTGAAGATAAATGTACATTATATCCAGTGGGCCTGCACACATTAGCAATTAAAAGACTCTTCTTTTCATGCAGTTTTGAACTTTTCACCACAAAGAAAGTCACATGCATTTCCAGCAGGCTTACAGCCGGTGTGACAACCCTAGCATATCACATAGTATTAGAGGTTTCCCAAAAGCTGAAACTGCAATTTAAAATGTCAACAAGTATTTCAAACATTTTAATATGTTAAAAAATACTTTTTTATTTCATGTCAGAAGTTGAAAGTTGTGATAGTAACAGCTAACACACTTAGTCATAGCTATCAGGGTGGACAGAAACAGCTAAAAATGAGCAAATCATGAAAAAGAAAAGGAGATGTATTATCACTTCTTAGAATGTTACCAATTTGCATACATTTCGAACTTTTGTGTCTAAAATGATTTCCCCATCCTCACCTTCAGATTAAAATAGTGATTCCAAAATTCCTTGAGCATATGATGACTACCTCCTTAATAAAAATAAAATACACGTGTCTGAGCACCTCAAATTTTAGAACACTTAAGTAAATCTTATCCACATTTATTGAACAGTATTACAAACAACAGTGCTTTATTACCAAGAATACTTTATTGCACACTTTATTTCACAGGACAAAAAAAATAATTTACAACAGAAATGAACCATCTCTTTGGAACTTATTCCTGATCTCCCCCTTTGGTTGAGAAGCAAAACCTGCTTTAACTCCTTGCTCTAACATTAAGGTAAAACAGAAAACAAATTTAAATTTTTATCCAAGCAATTCTTTATTTTCCTTCATGCCCTATCTTATTGACCAGAACACTCAAATGACCCCAGGTACAGGACACCAATTTCTCCAACAAATATGGTTATCATGGGATGGACCATATGAGACAGACTGAGGGACTATATCAAAAATTGAAACGTAGCTTCTATAATATGTACTACACATCAAAATAAACATAATACTATATTTATGTCTGTTTTCAGAAAAAGAAAATATACAGAACATTTTTTGGCATTATTTTGAATACATGCTCATTCTTGCTCATGCTAATGCTGTACGTGATACTTACTGTATTAATGAAATAGTAGATTGGGCAAAGGAAATGATCTTATTGAACCCGTTGAATGTATATTCAGTCTAAAATCAAGACAGAAAGCAAATAAAGGAACCCGTTTACCAAGAGAATTGTATTTGTATGCCATTGGTATGTTGGAGCAACACCTCAGGTAGACTTGCTAGTTGTGGAGCCAAGTCATCTTCAGTGATAAATCAATGTTATGCTTAGTTATCCACTTTAACAAATGTCAGTGAGTGTTGTGTGCATATAATATGCTAATTGTGTACTACAAACCAATAGATCAGGAGGTTCAAGTTTAATGGTCTGGGCAAGAGTTTGTGCGTATAGTGTTTGATGGCAATCTGACTGTATGGCGCTACACCGATAAAGTCCTGGGATCATAATTTCTACTCTTTCTTTTTCTGTGGGTTCATCTTGACATGACAAAGACAAAGCATGTCTTCATTCTCTTCATGGAATGCAGCTTTCTTGCAAGATGAGAATGTGAAAGTTTTGCTGTAGGTGCCGTGTTCACCAGACATGAGTTCTACTGAACATTTGTAGGATGAACCAGAATGTGTTGCAACTTTGAGGGCACAGAGAACAGTGCACAGGCATAAACTTGTCAAGGCTCTTGAGGAATGGAAAAGAATACTGCGAGACAGCATCCACAACCTGGAACAAAGCATGAGTCACAGAGGTAGAGCTTGTACTGCTTCAAACAGTGGTGGGAGATACTACTTGCCTGTGACTTTCATGTTAGGTCTGTTTTTTAACCCTGGTGAGGACAAATGTTAATCAACGAAAAGAAATGACCTAAGTCTTGTCTTTTCAGGAAACTGCCAGAAAGAGAAGTACCTGGAGCTTAAAATGTTGTATAATTTTACTGATAATAGCTTTTGAGAGCTTATTTCCGTTCTAAGTGATACATTTTTCTCAGCATACATACATTGACATACCTGCATACTGTATGTACAACATTCAGTGTTTTTAGCACAGCTAGCTTTGTTCTAACAGCACAAAAATGGGTCAAAGCTGTAGTGGAAGAAAAGGGGTTAAAGTTAATGTACTGTGGTTTGAATATTTCTAGATGCATGTGTTGTTCATAGTATCTATTTAAAGGTGAAAAAGTACAAAACACCGACACCCTTATAATGTACATGCTCTGAGTTTGTCAAAATACACAGAAGTTCTTGGAGAGGTTTAGCATGGTGTAGTGCTTGGTTTATTTGTTTTAACTGATTTTTATATCACTTCCCTGGGGGGGGGGGAAATTAAGCAAATAAAAGGAGCAATCTCGTGTTGCAATGAAAAGTAATGAAAATGACAGAACAGGACCATCATTGATAGAAGGAACAGATTAAACAGTATATACAGAATTCAAATGAGTAAGCCAAACTAGCATTTTAAAATATATTTCACTTTTGCTTACTTTTTCAATGTAATAATTATTGTAATAAAATATTTAACATTTATAATGAAACAAGCCTAAACATCCCATAACATTTCCCTTTTCCTAGATGGTGTTTTAAAGAGCAAATTAATAGTCTTTACTTTACATACAGTATGTTTTTTTAAAACGCAGATATAGTTGGTGTCAGTATACACATAGAAAGGTGTCTTATCTCACAGAAAAGGATGAATGATGAAATATTGAACATGCGTGGTGGGAGTGATTTAAGTAAGATAATGTGCAAGGCACTCAGACAAATCAATGTCTGTACACATTCACTCTCATTTGACTAAAAGCCACAAGAGAACACAGATGTGAGAAAGGAATGTTTGTTTTTCTCCAGTACCTTTGCAAGAGTTATTGTAAGTAACTAAATTACTACATTTTCTTTCAACATCTCAAGTATAAAAATGTTAAAACAAGGCTGAATACAGATGATTGTACTGTTGATTTAACAGTAATTACAAGTGTTTTAATTAATGGAAACAATTCACATTGTGGAACAACATAGTTTCTCTTCTTTACAGTTAAGGTTGTTTTCAGGCTTTGTGAAGGGGTTTATGGTCTTCAATGCACCATATATAAAGAACATAAATTCCTATATTTATACTTGTATTTGTTGATACAGCATTATAAACTTAATGTTAGTTTACATTTTTCATCCTTTATATACCTCCTTATTGGAGTGATAGCCACATCTGTGATTTAATTTGTCATCATTTCAATTAGGATTTATGTTTTCAATTTGTCTTTTTACCAATTGTAAATGTAACATGCAAGTATAGTATCAACACAGCGATAGAAAATTTGGGATGTTTGGTCAATTAAATTCACTGTAAATTCACATTTACCTCAGGAGTGCTTGAAGCATCCATTAAAACTTTGATTTATTCAAGTAATAATAGTTCTAGATGTAGTCTTAGCAGGCAAAATATTTAAAAAAAGGAAAAGAGGGAAATAATTTATTTTAAATATTATCTGGAAGAAATGTAGACCAGTAATGATTTGTAAAACAAAAAACAACATTTCAAAGAAATGTTAATGGTTTCTGTATTCATGTTAACTAGTCTCTGAGCCCATTGATAGGAAACTCAAAGGGATCCTGACAGGAATGGGTTAACATATTCATTGTTGATTATTTTAAATTGTGGAAAAGTGCAGAGAATGTGTAGCTTTCTACAATTTAAACAACACAAAAATGCTTGAGTTTTATTTTGGAGACTCAATGCTGCCCTATCCAACCTCCTTGTGCTATGAATCACACCGCTTTCTGGAAGATATGATTGGCTGTGGTGACTAATGTGAAAAGTGACCATGATTGTGATTTCAGCAGTTGCTGAGGGACCAGCCCCAGCCACACAGAGGCTTTCTTTCATTGCTGTCATGAGCAGATGGTAGTATTAAAAAACAGTTTCGTTAATTATCACAGTACTGACATGACATTCAATAGCTTTAAATTTAGTTGAAGCAACTTTGCTCTATCATTGCACATTATAGTCAAGGTCACATAAATACTAGTGAAATTTCCAGAAAAATTAAAACTGATAAGGAGGTCTTGACTCCAAGTTTTACAGGGTTTATAGTGATATGACTGGAGATGAATCATATATTTCTTGTAATTCCTGGTGTCATGTAAGAAATAATCTCAAATATCAGTAAATACAGCACACTGTATCTACTACTTCGACATTTTAATTCTACGGATAGGAGGATAGAAGAAGATTATTATGTTGTGACAGAAAGAAAGAACATACATTTACTGTAACTGTAAAGGCTAGTTTGTGTCTTCATTGGTTATGTCTGTTGTAAATCCAAAAGTTCATTGTTAAAGCGAGTTTTATATACAGCCTTGTAATATATAACTGGAGGTGTCAAGGCCAAGGAGGGACTGATTGGAGAAAGGTATTCCATTACATGGGCACTTAGGTCAGTTAGTCAAAAAATTAAAACTTTCAACACAGCTACAGCTTTAACAAATTAGTTTATTTAATTCAGACATTTGTGAGCAATAGTTTGTTTTCACCTTTCTCTGAGATTCATCACATGTTTTCTATATTCTAAAATGAATAAGAAACTTCTCAAAAACCACAGATAATTTAACAAAAATGTGTATTTGCTCCATGAGCCCATCTTTGCTGTGTCTGTCAGTTCGTCAGCTGAGCTTGGGTTTTAAAAACACTTTACAAGATGTTATGAGGAACAAGTTGCTTGGTTCAAGACTCACCCATCTCAAGGGAGTAGGCAGGGTGGACTCAAGGTTCCAGTCAGTCTAAATCCAAAGAGTGGTACAATAGAGATACTGAATATGATAGTACTCAATCCCAGAGGGAAACCAGACAGAGTATACATCAGACTTAAATGCAACCATGGTGACAGACTGTGCTCTGTGAGACAAATCAGAAGTAAGCCGCTTCACTGCAGAGAGAAACCATGTTGACAGTTCTCTAAACAATGTACGAAAGTATCCCAGTAGATAGCATCAAAACCAGAACTTAAATACAACCGAAAAAAAAGAGGAGATGAGTCTGAGTTAGCGGCCATTAGTATATACTTATTTCTTCAGTAGACCAGTGACTGCAGTCACTTTGGAAGGGGAGAGGACAGCTCTGGATTACTGTAAACGGTTAACCAAAAGAATGCTGAGAACAAGGTTTTAAAAGGTTGTCATTAAAAAAGTAATGTTACCAACTAATATCATCCCAGGAGTACTGACTTAAGTTAAGAGAAAAGGGAAGAAAAAAACTGCATCTGAGAACAGAGTAGAATTGATTGATTTTAAATGAGAAAACTTCATGAAAAGCTTTGTATTATTTAGAAATACAGCTTGAACTTTATTTAAAAAAATAGCTAAACCACTGGAGGCCTGAGTCTTTTCCAAATAACCGTAATCAGGTGATGTTTTTTCATCCAGAAAAAATAATCTCCTATTTCAGATCCTTTCCCAACAATACTGGATAGACATTTAGATACAAATTTGGATTAATTAGATTTTAATACATAGTGCTTTTGAGTTAAACACATAGATCATCAAACATTGTGGTTAATATGTAGGGTTATTTGATTTTCTTAGATTCCAAAATAGACACGTATTTGCAAGATCTTATTTTTTTAAATTTGAATGAGTACAGTTATGTTTCTTTACCTTAATCTCAACTTCAGAATGTAAAATGAATACTCTTACATTGAATTTTTCCTTTGCTTCATTTTTTTCTACTACAGAAAACACCAGCAGAGAAAAAGTTACTATGGATTCTACAGACCTCCATCAGGATCTAAATGCAACCATTTTCAACACGTCCTGTGATGTGTACATCTACCAGGAGACTGCAAAAATCCTTTTTCCAATATTTTACACCATAGTATTCCTCGTCGGCATCTCCGGAAACATACTCGTCCTTTATGTCACTTTGCAGAAGCAGCAGAAATTCAATTCGACCACTCTATACCTGACCAACTTGGCCATCTCTGATACCTTGTTTGCTCTGGCATTGCCAGGGAGAATCACCTACTACATAAGGGAATTTGACTGGCCCTTTGGCGACCTCATGTGTAGATTCAGCACAGTCATCTTTTATACAAACACCTATACTGGCATTGCATTCATGACCTGTATAAGTGTTGACCGTTACTTTGCAATGGTGCATCCTCACCGCCTCATTAAATTCAGAAAGGTCGAGGTTGTGAAAGTCATCTGCGGGCTAGTGTGGCTGTTGGTGTTTTTTCAGACAGCACCTTTACTTTTTAGGAATTTGCTTGGAAGCAATCAAGGCAAAAAGACATGCATGGAATACTTCAATTTCGAAGGGTCCCCATTTCTACCTTATTTGCTTTTGCTGGCTTGTACCATCAGTTTTTGCATGCCGCTGGGAGTTATTCTGGGTTGCTATTCCAAAATCAACCTTAAACTGTCCAAAACCGCCAAGCAAAACCCAATGACTAGCAGATCTGGCCGCAACAGAAGAGCCAACAATATAATTCTTGTGATTCTTCTTACATTTGTGCTGTGCTTTAGTCCCTATCACGTAAACCTCATGCAGTTTATGGTCAGGAAGATACTCTACCAACCTTCGTGCGAGGAGTTAAAAGCCTTCAAGATGTCCCTTCAGGTCACTGTATCCATGATGAACATAAACTGCTGCTTGGATCCCATCATCTACTTCTTTGCCATTAAAACATATAAACAAAGAGTAATTAGCTTATTCAAGGGGTACCTTTCTATGTCTACTCTTTCTTCAAAAACTGTTTCTGATAACAGCAGCAGTAATAGTTGAACTGGAAGTGGGGAACATTGAAACATCTGATGACTCATCTTCTGATGAAGTCATGGGGTTTCAGTGTACAGAGCCTGACATCACCTCATACTCCTGATGCACTGTGAGGGGCTCTGTGTACCATTCACAGAGGATCTTTGTATGTATCATTTGTTCATGTATGTCCTTTAACAAAATGATAAGCTAGATAGGCGTTTTTCATGTAAACGTATTTTGGTTTATTTTCTTACATTAAAAAAAGTTACTTTTTACTGTCCGCAAGGCCAATTGATTTTGCATTGAGATCCTACTGTAAATACAATCTTTCGCTTTTTATAACAAAATAAACACACATTTTTAGCAACACCAGCAAATGGGTAAAAGAAACCTTCAAAATCAGTGGTATTGCAGTTTCTAAATGCAAAAGATATTTCAGCTCACACGTAAAAGCTGAAAAAGCACAAGAAGAGGAGACTTGTGCTATTGAGATGTTTTGACCAAGTGGTCTCTTCCTTGCTTTTTTAATACATGATAGGAAAGTACAGTAGTGGCAAATAAATTTAAATCTTATTATAAAGGTTTTGTACAATAAATGCAGATCTGTTTAAGAAAAGACTGATTCCAATGTTAAGGTGTAATGTGAAGAGCAATATTAAGGAAATTCAGATCCTATGGTTTTTGTAAATGTTTTCTTATTCATTGTTGATTGCAATGAAAAGCATACATTTTGATTTTTTTCTGTGCAAATACAGTACATTATGTTCAAATGTCTTTGTAAAGGACAGTAGGACAGTTCAGATCCTTAGAAGTTGGATCCACATGCTTTAGATTTGAGGATTTGACACCAGACCCTTAGAAGCAAGTCTCTATGGTATTGTATTGCATATACTGTATAATTGTATCATTCAACATGTGGAATATTGTGTACCTCAGTATTGCAGTTTTACAATCTATCATAAAAATAATTAAATTTGAGAAAGAAATGTTTTTGCTTATATCTGGTATAAAACCACACATAAAACTCAGACATTTTAAAATACATTTAAGTAGTAAGTAGAAACATGTCCTATATCAAAATGCTGAAACTGTTTTCAATTAACTATAGAATCTAAACATTTTAATGAGCCATTTTCCTCCCATTCATATTCTCTTCAAACCCAAGAAAAAGGATGTAATTTCTTTGTCAGTAGTAATTAAAAAGCATAGTTGGTTAGAAATCTTCTAGTTCTTCAACATTAGACGATAATGTCAAATGTCAAATTTACCGTAGGTACTTCAGAACAGTCTTTGAATTCAAGCAGGAAAGATAACATTTTGTAATCGAACCCACTAACCAATAAATTAATTTGGTCTTTCTCAATGTACTTTTCACTCTACTAATAGAATATATGCAACCTGTTGCATAGTTGTATTTGTGGGAATATGTAGAAGAAAAATACAATCAAAGCTCAACTTCTGTTTACTTTTAAAACTTTTTCCTTTTCTCCATTTGTTACATTATTCCATTTGCTAACTAGTAGTGATTTAAGTTAAAACATAATAGTAAAGACTGACTTGTTGGCAAAAACTAAAACAATACCCATCAAAATGGACATTATACCTAGTCAAACTTCAAACACCATGCTACTGTAAAGAAAACTGAAATGTGAAAAAAACTTGTATTCTTTAAAATTAAATAGAAAATGATTTAATTCCCTATCTATGGAAATAGCTTAACTTTTAAAATGATCAAGAAAAGTACTAAAATTAAAAGTAATCTTCTATACACTCTACATCAAAGCAACACACTGACCTTATATTAATTAAACTAATTTACAGCTGTTGCAAATCTTAGAATTTCCTTTGACATGTTATGTTTTAAAACAAAATACACCAAAACGTGGACACCTTGTAATGAATGTAGGTGCTTTCATTTGAAAAACGTTCTATGAAAATGGCATACGCCATGTTTATATCTATAAATCTAATTTCCATTTTGATAAAACAGACATTTTCTATGGTCACAGAATGAATCATTAGTAACTGAAATTTCTGAAGATATGAATACTGAGTCTTTCCCCTTCATGCCTGATGTATAGTGAAAATTATAATGATACCTTATCTGAAGTAACTAATTTCAATTCAACAAGTGTCAGAAACATCAGACCTTTTGAAAGCATAAGCACATCCTTCATTTTACACAAGATTGTCTCAGAATCATGAAACTAGAGCACCGCAATGATTTTAGAACCCATGACCACAACTGTTTAAAATTGTTCTTTATTTAAAATTGAAGAGTTCCATACTGGCTTTTAAACTTTTAAAATGCCTCAAAAACATTCAACTACATTGTCTATAATCTTGAATATCTATTTAAAAAAATTCAATATATATGTTACTTCAACATTTTGAAAATCAAATCAGAATTTAATAATTCAACTTACTAAGAAACAAATTTTATAAGCACTGCTTATAAATCAGAATTCAGTAGTTCTCCTGTAGGTATTTTTCCATCTTTTTAAACTATTATAAGCACAAGAGGATTACCCTTGTGCTGCTCAAGTTACATAAAGGCATCAGAATAATTAATACATAAATGATAATTCGCAGAAATGTGACAGTTTTCAAATCAAATTGTATTCTGAAACTACAGACTAACCTTGTACAAATTCAGCATGGAACATCATTCTAAAACTTGCTTTTGACTGAACCATAAAAAAAATAAAAACCATTTTAAAAAATGAAATGACAAGAATGTTTTGAAAGAATACTTATTTTGTAACTGAAACAGGCTAAAAAAATTACATTGCCTTTGCAAGCCAATATGAATAATTCAGTTTTCTAATTCTTTTTTAACATCCATGCATTCATTTTTCTAAACTCTTCACCTACCTAAGGGTCATGGGGAAGCCAGAGCTTATCCCAGTCCATTGCAGGGCACAAACACACTCGTACCAGGGCTAATTTTCCCAGAAGCAAATCAACCTACCAGTTTGTTTTTGGGTTGTGGGTGGAAACCAGATCACACAGCAAAAACCCCAATGGAACATAGGAGAACACTCATGAAATGTCTTACCTTAGACCTATAAGGTTTAAGTGTCATTGAATGAAAGGATAATAACAACAACAATAATGATGATTATAAAATAAAGTATGCCAGTACATCAGTGGAGAGGAGAAGAGATTAATTAAGCAAGTTCATAGTCAGAGATTGTTAGGATACCATCATGATTGTAAAGGCCAGGGGAAGATTTGGCCAAAAAAATGAGCCAGAAACCCTTCTATTTTCAAGAAAAGTTCTATGATCTTTAATGACCACAGAGTTGGGTCCTCGGTTTTATGTCTCATCCAAAGGACGGACCCTTTTTTCACAGCCTGCAGGATGAGCACTTTCTGTTGGTCCACATTAACACCTCTTCCAGCAGCAACCTTAGCTTTCCCAGGAGGTCTATCAACTGTAGGTGCTAGATATCTAGGAACTGTTATTTGCAATTCACTTTTTTAACTTCAGTTCTTTTTTTTTTTCCAATACAGATGATGGTCAGAAAAGATAGGATGGGAACACTCTTTGGATCTTATGTGGTGACTGACAAAGCAGAGGTTTTTTCCATGGAGCAAAAAGCTTTAAAAAGTGTTAAAGTATAAATATTTAGAATGCATCCAGTTCTTAAGGGGGGAAATGTATTCATAATGTATATTATTATAAACTAGTAATATCAAAGTCAAAACTTTTTAAGTTCACATTCTGATTGCAATTCTAAAGTCTAAGTTTACTTAGCTGTAGGTGGGCTAAGATGAACACAGATGATCAAAGGGTGGATTACTCTGGTTAATTGAACTTCACTCTAAATCATTAGAACCTTTAACACCCATAGACAGCATGAAAGACAAAGAAGGGAAGACAGAAAGATGTGAGCAGAGGGAGTATACTGGAGGAGAAGACACAGAGAGAAAAATGAACACCTTCACCCTCCTCTTCCTCAAAGCTTGTGCCAAGTGAGATGACCTTTAGATCAGCCTTGGACACGGGATTCTGATGATGCAATCTGAACTTAATTTTAGAGTTTGCTGTCCTGTTTATTTTAGGGAATGCTGATTTTCTGTATTGAGGAATCCTCCGACTAAAAAAAATTCTCTCCAGATTGGTGACGCATCTTTAAAATATGGATTTTCATTCACATTCACTTTTGGACATCCATGTTGTAAGAAGGGACATTTAGTTCTGAGTCATATCCTGGTTTTGAGATGCAGAGTTGTTTTCTTTGTGGATGGTTACTTTGGAGCCCAGTGCTCTCAGAGTACTTTACAGGTGTAGAATCCAGGGTTTATAGGTCGGTATGACAAAGGCCTCTGAAACACATAGATGTATTATAGTCTATGTGTTACAGTCTAACTGGTGAATGTTGTTTAGTGTTTTGTGTAGTGTTATGTTATTGGTCATAATGTATATTTTTATTTGTCTTGTCAAAGGTTTGACTATGTTTAATTACTCTTTCACCAGAGCTGTGCCAGTGAATATAAATAAGTCATATGCCATATTCTCACATGCTTCATTTTTACTTAAGACTCAGCTAATTATATTTACTTAACCACAGTCTCTAATTTGAAACTATATCCACCTATTTTGTTAAATATCTGAAAGCAGCTGCAAAGTGTTTTTATATTTCAACCACTGAGCCAAATTTCACCTGCTGACACCATCCTATTCTGTAGTGCACACATCTGCTTTGATTAGGCCGGGCCAATGTTCCTTGGCAAGCAAACTGGGATGTGCAAGTTGTCTACAGACATGTATCTCCACTCCAGCTTACCTCCTGTAAGACACTCAGGTGTCTGCAGCAGCCAAATAACATACTGTATGATGCAAACAGTTCACTGTGTCAGAGGACTGCATTCAGAAGCTCTCAAGTCAGCTTATCATCAGCAGACCACTGCTGTGGTCAGTCAAGATGATAAACAGCTGGCAATTCCATTGTGAGTTGGTAAATAATAAAAAACAATTGGTGATTTTCTTGATTTTTATTTAAAGATGACTACATTACCATTCCTCAATCACTATATGGTATATCTAGGGGAGTTTGGTTGTGGGATCAAATTATTATTTGGGCATCTGAAGGTAGTAGGCCTCAAGCTTCTCAAATCACCCCATGACATGACAGTGAACCGCAGTACATATCCCCCTGTTTTATATTGTGTTTAGTTATCCTCCTTGTGACTGGTGAGGTTTTATAGCTTCTATATTCAGGGAGATATGGCCTAGCCTGTTCTTTGAAATGATTCTCTCCCCAAGTGGAAACAAAAATGTGTTCAATACCATGAACCTCCACAACCAGCCTGAGATAAAATGTTAAATCTAAATCCTCATCTAATGAAGGTACAGTAGCTATAGTCCCCCCACCCTTTCTTTTAAAGCAAAACAAGCAATCACATTCTGTTAGGGGTTTGGGTAAAACACACAATAAAGGAATGATTGAGCAGACAAAATGCAAAAACAAATGACGGGTGGATTTTGGTAGGATACATTACAGGGATCATGTTCATACTACAGATCTGCAATTGAATAAAATTCACACTACTCCTGCTTTTATTTTACATCGGTGCCAGAAATCACTTGGGAAGTAGCGGAAATCCGACTTTTTCCCTATCAGAAAGGAAATCAGCAATAATGTAGTAAGAAAATGCTTTTTCAATAGGTAAGGGGGAATGGGAAGTACAACAGCAGTCAGCAATGAACATTATTAAGGTCACTGCCACTGTAGAAATTACTCCTGAAAACGAAAGCAGAAATTCATTGTTTTTTTGCAGTACATCTCAACATTTGCGCCGTCAAGCACAATGTAGCTTCTACTGTAGTTCTGGTTCTACAGTATGTGTTTGCCTGATACATTCACACCAAACTCTGTTGTACTATCAGTAAGTTAAAAATACTGAATTATGAACAAAAAAGGATATTACAGCCTTAGGAAGAATTCAGAGAACTCTTCC